GTGCGCTCGGGACGGACCCTCTCCAGGATCTGCACCATCTCCACTATCTCCCCTCGCAACTGCACTCACTGATCTCTGTGTCAAACTCTCCAGCAGTGTTAACTGTTTGTATTTGACCATCTTTTGCTTCGCTGTCTTCTCTGTCGCCATGCTGTCTCTCGCTACTCCACTCTCTACCACACCTCCTCTTCCTTCTGCTGCCTTTTGACCCCATCGGTGGGGCAATACTGCACTCTACAGGTGTCAACGGATCATTACACGTAATATATGAAGATATACAGGCTGATTTCTATATCAAAAGGTGCGCCAGAGGTCAATATAGTACCCTGAGTGAAAAAGTGAAAAAGACGTCTAAGACGTCTTTGGGAATAAGCGTTACTAAAAAAATAGAACGTCTTAGACGTCTTTGGCAACCAATGAGTTAATAGATTAACAAACTCCCCTGTTCAAATGCCATTAGAGCTAACTTACAAACGTAAATGTAATGAGTTTGCACATTTTTTCAATGACAAGGTTCAAGGCATCAAAAACGCCATTGTCTCCAATCCACAGATAACAATCCAACAGCCAGAAAGGCTCTTTGAGCTAACTTACTTTGCATGATCAAACTGTCCAAGAGATAATCTCCAGTTTGAGCTCCTCCACATGCAGCTTGGATGTACTACCCACTAGATTTCTAAAGTCTGTTCTGAGCAGTCTGTTACCTTCACTCACACAGATAGTAAACATGTCCCTTAATTCTGGAATATTCCCAAAGGCCCTGAAAACTGCAGTCATCAGGCCCCTGAGCAGTCTGGAGGCTACGGTACTTAACAACTATCGTCCCATCTCAAATCTGCCATTTATGGGGAAAGTCCTTGAGAAAGTTGTCTACCTACAGCTTACTAGATTTCTTATAATCAACAACTCATTTGATATGTTTCAGTCCGGCTTTAGACCCCACCACAGCACTGAGACTGCTCTCGTCAAGGTTACAAATGATATCCGGCTGAACACTGACGCAGGCAAAGTCTCAATCCTAATCCTGTTAGATCTGAGTGCTGCCTTTGACACTGTCGACCATGAGATCCTCTTACAGAGACTAGAGGACTGGGTTGGCGTCGCTGGCACCGCCCTAAGTTGGTTTAGGTCTTACCTTGAAGACAGGAAGTACTTTGTGGAGATTGGAAAATGTGTCTCAGATCATATGGCCCTGACCTGTGGAGTCCCACAGGGGTCGATCCTGGGACCTCTTCTGTTCAATCTCTACATGCTGCCGTTAGGTCAGTTTATACGCAGAAACAAAGTGTCCTATCACAACTATGCAGACGACACTCAGATCTATGTCTCACTGACTGCAGGAGAACATGGACCAGTGGACTCACTCCTTCACTGTATCCAACAGATCAGTGAGTGGATGCAAAACAACTTCCTTCAGCTAAACGCAGACAAAACTGAAATGATTGTCTTTGGTCCCCAGAAACAAAGAGAGAGCGTCATCTGTCACCTACAGTCTCTCTCCCTAACTAACCGAGCCGCGCATTCTCCACCAAATCTGTTAGGATTTAGCAGACAGAGACGGATCGTGGTGTGCCAAACTCTGGAAGTTTATTTAAGTTTCTCTCAAGTTCCCACTGGTTTACTCTGTTTCTTTCTCTCAGACAGAATAAAGGCAGTACACAGTTTATATAGTCATTGTCACGTCACACATCGAAAGACATACGTGTCACAAAGAGACAGTCACATCATAGTCATAACATGGAGTCCTTGTAGAGTCCTTGTACAGTCCTGCACGTAGGCCATATTGCTATCTAATACTAATAATCCGATGCATTATCCAACAAGAATGACTGAAAAGGTAGTTAATTTGAGTATTGCTGTGTGCTGGTTGTATGGGTTTTTGTTTGCATTTTCGCTTTATCTTGAGTATATCATTAATGGACATAAATATATCGTTTGCCAAGGAGAATGTGTGACTTTGCCCTCATCAAAAGAGGTGAACTTTTTGATGGCCGTGGTGATCCCAATTATAACTATTATCTATCTTTATTCAAAAGTCTTTATCACAGCTGCGACTCAGGCCCGTGCCATTCGTTCTAATGTTACAACGGTGACATCCAAAACCACTAGAAAATCGGAAATCAAAGCGGCTAGGAATTTGGGCGTAGTCGTGCTTGTTTATTTCTTATGTTACACTCCATACTATTTTATCGTTTTCTTGGCGACAGACATGTTCATATTTGGTGTTCCGTCGGAGCTTGTGGCAATTTACTTATTCTTTACCAACTCTTTAATTAATCCTCTCATCTATACACTGCTCTATCCCTGGTTTAGAAAAGCCCTCCTGCTCATAATCACATTTCAGATATTCAGACCGGGGTCGAGTGACTTAAAGATTCTGTAGATTGTTATGCCCTTAGAAATATGCTCTTTTTATTTTTGAAAGATCAAATTAATAAGTGCTCTCTCTATATTTTGTGTAAGCTATTTGTGTTCATGTCTCTCCTCAATGAATTAATGTATTTTCATTTATTTCTGTGTAATTGTGCAACTTAAAATGTGAAACCAATATATCATATAGACTTATTACCTGCAAAGTGACATATGCCAAGTCTTTATTTCTTTTAATGTTGAAGATTATGGCTTACTGTCTCAGGTCTCAAGTGCTGGGACTAAAACTGGTCTAGTTTTACAAGCTGTGAGCCAATTATCAACATTTTACTAAATTAAGGTTTGATATATTTCACTTTCCGTGTGGTGAATTAGTTTCACGTTGAAAGTTTAATTACAGAAGTAAATGGACTTTTGAACAATATCATATTGTATTTATCTCTTGAAACAAAGCTACTTATTCTACATCATATTAGATGGTTAAATTTATTTGGCTACTTTATTGGTAATTGTGCAGTGCTTTGGAAATGGTGCGCATAAAAAAATGTACTATAAAGTGTATTGGATTGAATGACACATTTGTTATATTTTCATCATCTATAAACAACTCTTGCATCTTGTCCAGATTGTGACCATAATCATTTACAAATAATATTTCCGATGATGAATGGGTTGTATCTTTCCATGCTTAGAAAATAGAGACGGACTGTATTCTTCCTTGTGTATTTGTAAAGTTCTGTGAAAATAAAATATTTTACGTATACATTTTTTTCACTTATTTTAGAGCAGGTATACATCATTACATGTATTTTTGTTCAGGTTAAACATTCATGCTTTTGCCTTACGAGTAAAAATATAGAAGCTTAATCACTCTGCCACAGTTGTTGCCATAGTAACTGTAACAGCTGGATAAAATAAACTGTCAATAAGGTGACAAGCCGTAGTGACTGACGCCCCGTACCCACCGCACGCGTCTCGTGACGCGCTGAGAGTCGCGCAGCGGCGCGCCGCGCAGATTTGAAATACACGCCCATGTTATCAGCGCTCGTCTGGACAAAATAGGACACTCGCTTATTTTTGCTCGCGCAGTGACGCGTCTCCCAGTCAAAACACATGGGAAACATGTTTGTGCTTTGAAGACACCCCATGTCCATATTCTTGTCACTGTGTACAATACATGAAGTACATTTCCCACCGCATTTGTCTGTGGGATGACATCCAGTATATGGAGATGACGTAGGGGGCTTTTTTCCCCGGGGTCACAGCTGTGGGCATTTTTTCCCGGGGGACACAGCTGTAGGCTTTTCCCCGGTGTCACAGCTGAGATGGAGGACGCGAAAAGCCTGGCGTTCAGTGGCAACGATTGTCGGCGCTGATGGTATGTATAACTACTTTAATCATGTCATCGTCTTTGTGTATGTTTAGCTAATCAATAGCGTAGCTATTTCTAATTTGGTACACCACGAGTAAGTACTAAACAACTTAATACATGATATTTGTGTATTTATATCAGTGTTAGATAGTGCTATGAAGTATACATATATACGGAATGGTACGAAAAGTTGTGATCAGCTAATTATGCTAATGTTTAATGTTACATTGACATCAAAACAACACAGGGTCACAAAAAGCAATTACATTAATAAAAACAAACACATTTTAAAATGTACATTTCATTTACAAAGATTCCTATAAACGACAATGGGTTCTGCGAAAAGCTACACTATAGCTATAGGGCTATCATATTTAGAGTGAAGTTGCAAATAAGTTATTACTAACAACTCAATATAAAAATAACTAATCAATGTTTAATGTTGCATTGACATCAAAACAAACAAGGTCACAACAAGCAATTGTATTATAAAAAACAAACACATTTTAAAATTTACATTTCATTTGCAAAGATTTCTATAAACTACAATGGGTTCTGTGAAAAGAAGGTGCACAGCTTGTCCCTTACAAATGAAGCCGCCTCACTGGCTCTTCGCCCCTTCCATCCCCTGTTGCACCCTGTGTATATCCAGGCCTCTGTCTCTTGCCTCTGCCAGCCACATCTGATTATCTGCATTGTTGCTCAGGAAGTTGTGTAAAATGCAGCAGGAGATAATCACTGAGTCAACATGTTGTGGTGATAGGACAATTTTTGTGAGAAGCACCCTCCATCTCGCAGCCATTATGCCGAAGGCACACTCCACTACCATCCTCGCCCGAGACAAACGGTAGTTGAAAACCTTCTTTTGAGCGGTCAGGTTGGTGCCACCAAATGGACGCATTACATAGGGCTTTAGGCGGAATGCTGCATCCCCCACGACCACATGTGGGATGCTTCCCAGCTCTTCAGCTCCAGGCAATGGTTTGGGCTATGGGACATGAAAGGTGTTGTTCTCCAGGCCTCTCTTCAGGTTTGAGGCTGAGAAAACACCTCCATCACTGGCTAGTCCATAGTTCCCACGTGGATGTATGTGAATTTGTAGTTGGCATCCACTAAGGCCATGAGGACAATAGAAAAATTGTGTTTGTAATTATAATAAAGACTTCCAGAGTTAGGTGGTGCTTTGATGTCAATATGTTTGCCATCTATAGCACCGATGCAGTTTGGGAAATTCCATTTCTCCCAAAAGGCTGCAGCGATGCTTCTCCAGCTGTCCTCAGTGGGCCTTGGAATCTGGCTCCTGAGCATTAGCTTTTCTATGGCTTCCATTGTGTCCTGGACAATCCGAGCCACAGTTGTGACACCAAGTCTGTACTGAAAGGCCAGACTGGTGAAACTTTCACCGGAGGCCAGGAATCTGAAATGAAGAAAAATATATAACATTAAAAGATTATCAATGCATTTACATTTAAGTTTTTTTCTCTCATTACAGTTGAAGAATGCAAGCGGAGGTGGAAGGGGCTGAGGGACTCCTATGTAAAATTTAAGAAGTTCCCTCCAAGTGGCTCCGGAGGAGGAAGTGAGCGTGACTGGAGGCACGAAAAGGAAATGGCTTTTTTGAAGCCTTATCTTAAACCAAGGAGGTAAAGTATAAGAATATATCATTACGTTTTTTTATGTAGTTTTAGTTTCTATTGCTGGTAGAAGTTTAAAAAAAAAATACTTTTGAGTTTTTTATGAAGATACTTACTGATTAATATTTTGGTTTATGACTGTCACAGCTCCAGGGACTCACATGGAGACACGTCTGCAGACGACAATGTCCAGGAGGGTGCAGATGAGGAAGCATCACAGCCACAATCTCCAAACCCACATGACACAGAAGAACGGCTCATAAGAACCCCCCCATCCCCACCTCACTCCAGCACAAGAACCCCCCATCCCCATCACGCTCTAGCACACCGATTGCAGACACACCTCATTCCTCACAAGTCACCACCCAATCAACTCCACACAACCCACAAGCCCAACGTTCAAAATCAAGGAGAAGATTAATGGAACAGAGACGCCCAACAACCTCCGTGGAACAACAAATTTTGGACATAATAAAGGAGCCGCCATCAGCCCCCCCTCCCCCCCACATACCCACAGAGAACGAGTCCATATTCCACTTCTTCATGAGTGTAGTCCCACGAGTTAGCGCACTATCGCAACCGTCCAGAACAGCCATACAAATTAGGATCCTTCATTTAATAGGTGAATTGGAAGAAGAAGACCGAAGAGCATATTATCCACAGCACCCACCGCAGCATGCACACCAGCTCCCACCACAGCACCCACACCCGCTCCCACGCCAGCACCCACACCAGCTCCTTCACCAGCACTCACACCAGTATTCAGAACTGCACCCACACCAGCAATCACACCAGCACCCACCACAGCACTCAGAACTGCACCCGCACCAGCAATCACACCAGCAACAGGTGTACAGCCCTGCAAGTTTCCTTTCCGATCTGAGTGAGCCACACTTGGGCTCTCTGGGCTGAGATCTGAGTATGGGTCCTTTCTCTTTTAAGGATGTGACAGAGGCCAAACAGAGGCCGAGCTTGAGAGTGAGTGTATGTGCATGAATTGTTTGTAATGTTTCCAAATGTTTGCTGTATTGTTTTTGGACTGCCATGTTTGTATATGTATTTGTTGTTCTTATTGCTATTGTTATTATTAATTGAGATGGGTGAATTATTATATACCGAGTTGAAATGATCTTTATTGCTTTGTGAGGATTGTATGTATGATGCTGGATGTTTAATGTCTTATTGTTTATTGAATAAATACATTCAATGTAGCATACCTTAATGTTACTGCCAGTCTTTGGGAAGGACACACACTCCTTCTGTAGTTGGTCTCCTGGCGGCGGATTGTGGGACCAATAATGGAGAGCAGTTGATCCATTTGTTCCACAGACATTCGGAAATATTGGAGATGTTTTTTGGGATAAATCCTGAGTTCAGCCACTAGGTGGTAGTAGGCTCCAAACTGCGCTCTTCTCTGGTTCATGGGGTGAATCCACGTTCTCGTCTTCCTCTGCCTTCCTCTGAGTCTCAACAGCAGAAGTACTGCAATGGCCTTTCTTTTAGCACGTTGATCTATAAAGGAAACATATGAAGTTTCAGGGAAATGTTGAATTTATCAATAACATAGTTTAGATACATTTTGGCAAAACAAATATGTTAACAAGGCAAATAATGATGCTATTTAAATCACGTTGCTGTTGAATTGACAGTTAAAAAACGTTTACTGACAAAATGAATGTATCTAAAGTTATACACGTATGTAACTTACCCATATTGCAATTGATGAGGAAAATACGATTAAACAAACAGGTAGGTGGAGCTTCAAGGTTGTTTACTCGTCTCTCGCCTGTCCCCAGAGAGCGTCTCCTCTCTGCTGCGCGCCGCTGCGCGTCGCTCCCGGTTGGTATACAAACGCTTCTCAGCAAGTGCGCTCGTCCGAGGAGAACTGCGCGTCACTCACTGCGCGTGCGGTGGGTACGGGGCGTAATAGAGGAGCTAGAAGCCACAGATGCATTTTCATACTAAATAAAGCTGAAACTCGTTGTGTCCTTGGGCAAGACACTTAACCCCACTTTGCCCAAAGCCCCCACTGAAAAGATCAAGGCTATGCTCACACTCAGAGAGCAGCCGTCCTCCTGTGGACTCACCACCTGCAGAGGGTCAGTGAGGGGCTGGTGCTTCTGAGACTTGGGTGGCATCTCTGATTGCCACCCCCCTGACCCAGAAATGGATTAAAGGGTAGAAAATGGATGGATGGATGAATAAAGCTGAAACTGCAGTGGAGAAAAGTTTTGTTTAGAATTTAGTTGCGATTCCTGTTTTTATTAATGATTTGTCTATTTGTTTAAACAAAAGTCTTCCCAATAAAAAACATCACAATTGAAACATGTCTTTTTTTAAATATTATACTGCCATTTATAGACAAAACAGTGATAAAGAATTACCAATACAGGATGTATCAATGCCATAGAAGTGTCAGTTTTGTTGCAGATGAACAATAGTCACCATTATGCCTGTTGTTGTAAGTTGGGACAAGATGCCCACAGTCGCTCTGTGCAAAGTTATGCAAACTGATGGAACATGAGGCACATAACAATCCTTGTTACATGTGTTTTAAGGCATGTTTAGACACATATTCAGAATGTTGTTTTACGTTATCTGTAAATGAGTGGGAACTGTAGTGCTGATAATGACACCACAGGCAATATGAAAATAGCAATAAACAAGGCTAAAACATCTGCAGTTGTTAACATGCGCTAAATAAGTGTTTCCCAAAACGTTTTGAGTCTTAATCATTGAAAACAATCCGTTATTAGTAAAGGCTGTAAAGTGTGTAGAGTATCATATAGAAAATCCAACAAGCACAAAATAGTCCTTCTAATCTTCTAATCATTTTCTTTTTGCAATATTTTGAAACATTTGGTGATATTGGATCATTTCCAAAGGCACACCAAACCAAACATAACAGGGCACACTGGTTGAAAACCACTGTGCAAAACCATGTACAAAAGTGAATCCTATGAGCTGTCTCCATGGCACAGTCACACAGAGCATTCCACTGCTCACATCCCCAAAAAACTTGTTTGAAATCCATCAATCGCATTACTGCAAGCGGAATCAGGAAGACGGAAGTGCAGCTGCTACCAATGAGCGATCAATCACTGCATTGGACACACCGAAGGCAAGGTAAGCCACCCATGGCAATTTGACGTGGATATGGAATCCCTAGGTAATATAATTCAATGTGTGTGAATAAAGGAACTTAAGGATGAATTAATGGCGTGGGATATTAGTGTGTAAAGTTGCTCCGCAGTATGATTTAAGCTTATGCAATGTAAGAAGGAATAATGCGATGTTGTGATGGAATTTCAATAAAGATGAGAATGCTGTGTTGAAGGGAAATGCGGTGTATATGTTCAAACTAAGGAGGCGTTTAAAACAAAAGGGTTTACAAAATAAAAGGGATAATGAGCGAAGGAAATGGTGCGCCCTCTTGTCCTGAAACAGAGTGTGAAAAAAGGGAACGCAGTTATGCGTTAGCGTTCTTCCTCCACATAAGCAGCGCGTCATGAAGGTAGAGGACCCGTATTCTCCAGCGACATAGGATCACAGTCACTACATTAGTCATCGTGCGACTTGAGTAACGTGCAGAACAGGGTGTCGGCAATGATAATGCCGTTATAGTCAAAGTAATTAGTTGGATTACTCGTTACTGAAAAAAAGTAACAGCGTTAGTAATGCGAGAGGACAAAATAGGGGGGAGAGAGGGGCATAATATGAGGATGTGGAGTTGCCACTGAATCTAGAAATTTCCGTAAAACAGATTATTTTTTGTGTGGATAAAAATCTTCAGCACAGGAGTACAGGATGTCGATGCTGGACTCAAGGCACACACCATGGATCTATTATAATAACTGGATAGGGTATTACTAGCTTGGAGCTGAAGGACCCATGTGCTCTCGGGATTCTCGCGGTACTGCAGACTAAACGAGAGTAAATTCACGCGGGCTACCCAGATTTTTTTCCCCATAGAACTCAATGTAAACTAAAACAGCTCGACCTCAGCTGACAGAACCTACAGCTTGGCCGATGTTTTTATCTTGTGTTTTAATTTTTTTCAAAGATAGTCAGCCACCAGTTGTGTAAGTTTTCCCACTTAAAAAGAGGAGAGAGACCTGTCATTTTCACCATAGGTATATCTCAATTATGAGAGACAGAATGAGAAAAAACAAATTGTGGCTCTCGCAGACCTGTAAATCCTTCTTTAAGAGGCTCCTCTGTCCTCCACTCGTTATCTGTATGAAAGACACCTGTCCACAACCTCAAACAGTCACACTCCAAACTCCACTATGGCCAAGACCAAAGAGCTGTCAAAGGATACCAAAAATTGTAGACCTGCATCAGGCTGGGAATCTGCAATAGGTAAGCAGCTTAGTGTAGAGTAAGTAAGTAAGTAAGTAAGTAATTATTTATATACCGCTTTTCACTGCAGAGCTGAGTCTCAAAGCGGTTTACAATTGTTATTTGATTTTTTTTGGGCATTTGTCTCTCACTCCACACAGAGATGGGAAGGGCCAGTACAGGAGGCACATGCCAGAACTATTGGACATATTTTTAGCGGTAGGGGAAACCGGAGTACCCGGAGGAAACCTACGCAGACACGGGGAGAACATGCAAACTCCACTCAGAAAGGCCCTGGTCCGACCGGGATTCGAACCCAGGACCTTCTTGTTGAGAGGCGAGAGTGCTATCCACTCAGCCACCGTGCCGCCCGTGCCGTAGAGGACAGTACGGGCCAGAGGACTGATGTAGAGCAACACAAATCACATGCATGTGTTTGTCTTCATGGTCTCTGTGCGCTGGTTTGGCCAGACGCGAGACTTTATGAATGAAAATAAAAACTGTCCAGAATCACTGTAAAACCTGCTGCTCCTGCATGCGTGTGTGTGTCTGCGTGCGCGTGCGTGTGTGGATGCGATCTAGAGCCAAGGACCGATATAATCATGTTTCCCATGTGTTTTGACTGGGAGACGCTTTGCTGGGCGCACAAAATTAGAAATCCATCCTAAATTAGGCGCAGCCTCGCGTCATATGTCCGCCATACGGGCGTATGACGTACGTGCCGTAACGCCTCCTGTGTAAATTAGCAGTTACAAGACCACTGATAATCTCCCTCAATCAGCGGCTCTACGCAAGATCTCAACAAGTGGGGTCACAACGGTCAAGAACGGTAAGTAAAAATCCCAGAACCACACAAGGGGACCAAGCGAATGACTGCATAGAGCTGGGACCAAAGTAACAAAGGCTTCCATCAGTAACACACTACGCCACCAGGGACTCAAGTCCTGCAGTGCCAAATGTGTCCGGTGTTGGTCACGTTACTTTGAAAAAGTAATTAGTTAAAGTTGCTAGTTACTTTTCCCAAAAAGTTGAGTTACTCCACTACAAAAGTAACTAGTTACAATATCTGATCGCTGAACATGGTAAAGTGCTTTGGGTGACCTTGGTCTGTAAAATGTGCTATATAAATAAACATTGATTACTTACTTACTTACTAGTTACCAGTAAAAGTAACTATTGCATTACATTTTCATTTCGTTCTGGAACATAATGTGCACTCAACGTGCACATTTTTACTTTTCAAGGAGCTACAGTATACCCGTTTCTGCAAGGTTTGAATGTATAGAACCGCCCCTCAATTCGCTCAGAGGCTTCTCATTTCCCCTACGCTCTCATTCCACGGAGTCATCTAATCTTATTTGCGATCTGATACATATGCTAACATTAGCATTAGCGGAACTTAAGCTGTACAACAATCACTGATGAAATGGTACAAAAGCAACGCACTGCTAACAAAATATATAACTGAAAAATTACCGCTAGGTCCACGTCCCAACGCAAAAGTATGAAAAAGCACATTTAAAATTGTGTTATGGGCCTTACCTCAAACATAAACTGCACAGACCACCAGTTCAGACCAGTTTCATGTTTAAGTCCAAATAATAATTTGAGCGTAGATATGTAATCCTCCATTTGGAAATAAGTCCAATGAGCTTTAAAAAGTAAAACACAACGGTTGTCTCCTCCATAAACTCAGTGTTTTGCTGCAGCTGACTCTCGGGTGCATTCAATTTCTAAAATGAACCTAGCTTCTTACCCTTCACCTCTCCTTCTCATCATTCCTATCGTCATTGGAACATTACCCTAAGTGCATTTTAAATTATCTTAAAATGCCGTTATTCCCATCACTGAACGTGTCCCCCTGCTTTTAAGCCAGTACATGTCCAGGCCCGTCTGAAGTTTGCTAGAGAGCATTTGGAGGATCCAGAAGAGGACTGGGAGAATGTCATATGGTCAGATAAAACCATAATAGAACTTTTTGGTAAAAACTCAACTCGTTAGGTTAGAGTTGAATCCAAATGAACACCATGCCTACTGTGAAGAATGGGGGTTGAAACATCGTGCTTTGGCGCTGGTTTTCTGCAAAGGGACCAGGACGACTGATCCATGTAAAGGAAAGAATAAATGGGGTCATGTATTGGGGGATTTTGAATAAAAACCTCCGTCTATCGTTTTTTGAGAGGACTTCCGGGTACCAGTCAAGATGGTGGCGTGAAAAATCCGCAGCAACATTTGATTTATAAAACACCCCGTATAGGAGTTAAATAGCAGTTCATTCGTTTCACGAAGATTATAAAACGGGTACGAGATGAAACCCAGGAAAAGCCGAAGAAGACAGTCTCTGAGAATGGAAGGAAACATCGAAGATGACGAGATGGCTAACAGCAATAGCCCCGTTAGCCATGAGGACGAGAACAGCGATCCAGAGGAGGATAAGTTGTCTCTTATCTTGAGAGAAATCCGAGAACTCCGGGAAGACAATAAGGAGCAATTGGGCGAAATAAAAAGGGACATCGGGAAGATAAACTCGAGAGTGGATGACACTGAAAGGAGACTTGTAACTGCTGAAGCCCGGGTACAAGGAGC